AGGTTCCAGTCCCAGGCTGTCAGGCTGCAGGTCTTGCCTTCTGGAACCCCATGCTGTTCCTGAGACTTGCAGTAAAGCTATGATACCTTGCATACTACAGCTTCCAACTCCACATAGAAATTTAAAACCCAGCTTAGGTCAGCAAGGGCAGAAGTCTGGCATCCGTATGGTGTAAGTAAGCCTGTGGGGCTGCAAGCCCAGGTCCCACAGTCTGTGCCTACACATTCCTCAGTTTTTGCTGCCACTTCCTAACAGGTACCTGTTTTTCTACCTCTGCCAGAGATCACCTATTAGTCTGTCTGTAGCTATAAATTTGGTCCTTTATCTTTTCCTCATACCTTTCCCAGTTAAGAGTTGAGAGGTTCTTCATGGCAAACTGGCTGGGATTGACATCAGGTGATTTGGGAAACACCCATGTTCAAATTCTTGCCTTCTAGTGATTGCCCTGATGTTTAAAATTGACATTTGAAACTAAAGACTAAACCAGCTGCTTCTTGAAGAGCTAAAAGCAAAACATGAAAAGAATCTCCCATATAACCCACTCCACTCTCCCAACCAAAGCCCAACCAATAAAATGAATCCAGCCAATAATTCAATCTCCCTGGCTCATTCACTGTGACTAAAGCCTGCAGAAGCAGCACAGCAGGGACCCTTCATTGACCACAAATTTATCATTAGTAATTTTATTAGCTTTAATGTAGCCAACAGGGGCTATTGATAGTTTTAGTGTTCTTTTTCCTGCAGCATTTTTTTTTTCATCAAGGAAAAATGTACTACAGCACTGACATTTAGTTGCTTTTATAATTTAGGACGGATTGACTGAATGACAAATTTTTCAAAATGCCATCCTTAAAAAGGGAATCCACAGTTTGTAATCTGTATAAATTTGCCATTTGTACCTTTCTTTTAAAGATTTCTCAGGGCTTAGAAGCATATCAAGTGTAATTATTCTAATACTCCTCTAAAGGGAGACACTCATCTGTCATGGTTGAGAGCAATTTCTTTTCAGTAGGAATGGTTTAAAATGTCTTGTTTGGAGAGAAATGGCCATCCATTAATTGGTAATTTAAGCAAGTTCCCTAAAGTCAGGCAATGGGGTTAATGAGAACTTTGGGTCTTTGAAGTTGAATGGGAGCAGGGGTGAGCTCACCACTCCTTAAGAAGACATTAAATCAATTTGGTGTAAAAGGTGGAGGGACATAGTCCCCTCCTACAGTTTCAAGAAAAGATCATGCACACACAGATTAGGCTCCAAGCATGGAAATTAGATGGTGGGTCCCTCAGGACTTCTGGCAAGTACCATACTATCGAGGAAGAAGCAACAGCTGCCCGAACTATATCACACGGAAGGATGACAGCCTGGATTAGGCCTCACATTGGAGGCCAGAAACTTTTGAGGGAGCAGCCGCAGGCAGGACAGAACCAAGGCCGCATGAGTGCCCCAAACTGAAGCAGATGAAGTTGCTGATAAATGAGTTGAAATGCTAGAGGTCCCTGAAGTGGGAGCCTGCTGGATTTACAGAGGGTTGTCCCATTGCAGGGCAGTCTGCCCATCTTCAGATATTAATCAGAGACATTCATGTGTTCTGTCATCCACCCTTCAAAGGAAGGTGTCAAATGTCTTGATGAAAAGCCTCCCATGCTTACCCAGACATGGGGATCAGCCACCTTCTTGATAAATAAGGATGAATCTGTAGAGTGAGGATCAGGTTTGACCAGACATGTGGTCACAGGGCAAGAGTAATTATGTCATAAGTGTTCTATGGGCAGAACTCAGCCAATGCCATGGTCCACATTTGAAGGCAACATTTGCAGTTGAGAAGTAGAAGGCTGTAAGGAGTGAGGGTATGGAAATGTGGAATTCAAGAAGACCTCACTATGTTATGGTAGCCAGCTTTTGCCAAGTCCAGGCTCCACATAAGGAAGTTTGGAAGAAGAAGCAGCAGAACTGTCTGATGTTGTCATTAGTGTTGACAAGGGGTAAAAGGATCATTTGAGGAACCTAGAAGAGTGAGGCCATCTAGGTCACAGTGGCTGAAAGGGAGATGCATGGTGGGTGAATTCATATTCACTGAACAGCTGAGCTGAATTTAGAGAGAAAACACTGGCATTTCACAAAAACACCATTGGGGTTGCAATTTGTAGCTGGAAGGTGCTACTGTTCCAAGGCTACTTCCCTGCTGTGTCCCCCTGCTTGTGTTACTTGCCTTTGGCACCCATCAAACACCCCAAGATATATTTCCTTTCTGGGCAACACTATCATTCACCCTTTAGCTTGGAGGGACTTGGAATGGTTTCCTTCATGATGCTGAGAGGAAGGAGATGGGGACAGAAAGAAAATCCCTGCATTCAGGTTATTTTTAGGGCATCATCCCAGGATGGTGCTGACCATTCTTCCTAGGGGAATCTTACGCTGCTAGTTACCTTTGTCATCTGGTGTTAGAAACATTTGGGTCCATGTACAAATACTCAACAGCTGCTGTGTACCCCTGCCTTGTTGGCTGATCATTTGTCCCATCTTTCATCTCTCCTTCATCCGAGAGCCACTCCTGTGTCTTTCTGACTCCTGGACCACTTTTGAGGTTCTCTATACTCTGATGTCCTGCCCATTATGACTTTTTGGGGTTCTGCTTCTGGATCATAGTAAAGTTAGTCCTTTTTGCCCAAGTTCCTGATGGTTATGTCTTCTTTTAGTTAGAGTTAGAGCACCGGACTAAGTGCTTACCTCATTTCAATATACTGAATCTAAAAGATAATTGTGCCTGAACTGTGGTCTCTCTTGGACAGCCTTGTGGTCCAGTGGCCAAAGCAGTCAACATGTTTTATTTTATTTATTTGACAAGCAGAATTACACAAAGAGAGAAACACAAGGAGGGAGGGAGAGAGGGAAGGGAGAGAGGGGAGGGAAAGGAAAGGAGGGAAAGAAGGGGAGGGGAGGGCAACTCAAGTTTTTGGATTAGTTTTCCAGGCACACTAGCAGGGAGTTTAAGGGGAAGTAGAGTAGCCAGGACTTGAACTAGTGCTCATAAGAGATGCTTGTGTCACAGGCAGCAACTTAACTCATGTGCCAGATGGTTGGTCCTGTTTTCAGGGATTTCTGAATTTTCATTTTGTGTTTTCCTCAACTGAGATTATATTTTCACCTTTGCTGCTGCTTATGCAGTTTTGAGAGCTGTACACCAGGTGGTGGTAGTTTCCTCATCCTGTCATTATACATCCTGAATAGCTTACAGAAGACAAAAATGGAAGAGGAAAACAAAATTTTGATTATCTATCATGGGCCAGACTTCTGTACAATAGCTAAAGTAGTCATTATAACTAATTTATGGGCAGTAAATTCTGTTGTCATTTTATACTTAAGGCAACTGAATCTGGGGAGAGGTACAGTAACTTCCCCTAACTTAACCATTGTTCAGGTTAAAACTCTGGTAGATGTTGCAGCTGAGCTCTCCAGCTTTGTCTATAAGGTGAAGAAACACATCTTTTCCATGTGGTCACACACACACACACACACACACACACACACACACACACACACAATGAAGTCAATTGTCATTGCAGTGCAATTGTTCCAGCAATGTCTGTGGTGTCATTTGATATCTTCTTTACAAACTCCTCTAATGTAATGATACAAAGTTTATAGATAGGCAAAAAAAAAAAACACAAACAAACAAACAAAAAAAGATCTATAGTTCTTGGTAGAAGAAATATCAGCTTTTAAAGCATCTGATGTTCCAAAGTATGTACTTCCCCACAACTAAACCCATATATATATATAAAATTATATATGTATATGTATATATATGGCCAGTTCACCATTTTGCTTTACTTTGAGGGGAGATCCTTCTGTCCTAATGACTTGAGTGTTTGACCCATGTTACTGTGGATAAGTCTTAAGGATAGCTCTTTCTCTTTTCTTGGCTCAGATTTTCCATAAGGCCATTTCAGCCCTCTTTCTCCAGTTGGGTTGATAATTGGGCTGTTGCATGGCTGCCATTCAACTGATTCAGCAGCTATAGGGACATGGCATCACCAAGCACTCCTTCTCAGAGGTTGATTCAAGTAGTGTTTCAAAAATCAGAATAATCAAGCTGCTTCTTAGGGAATTTCGTGGTCAAAAGTGATTTCCTGAATATACCTTCCAACCCCTCCCACCATCTCTGTTTGAACCTTGTATCCATCAACAAATTATATCTCTAAGGAACACACTCCTTTCTTTTTGGTTTTTCTCAGACCATAACAAGCATGTATGTTTGAAGCTATTTCAAAAAGTTTGAGAATGAAAAGATAAGTTTATTGCAATGCAAGACAAATATTGAAATCCTTGTATGAGGGTCTTCAAAAAGTTCATTGAAACTACTTAGAATGAAAAAATGGCATTTATCTTTAAACTTCATCAGCAGCACTTGTTCAAGGAGTATTATTGATGCACTGGGAGTATGAATGTTTTGTTGTCGTCCTCTTTGAATATGAAACCAATATGGTAAATTAACTGTGAGACAATTGGGAACACCTCCATTTTGGGGTTTATGATATTTGGATTGGAAAGGTTATGTTTATTCTTCTTACATAGAAATTAAGTAGAAATAAGCGTTTCTGATGATGAAAAAAATTGTATATAACACACAGAAAAATTTATGCTGCCATTCCTCACAACCCACTTCCACTTCACAGTAAGGTGCTTGCATTATTTCCCAATGAAGGTGCTTGCATTATTTCCCTCTTCATATTTTAACCAAAGCCAAAATCGCAAATTTACTATGACTAGTCTGGTGAATAATAACATCTGCGTAAGAATTTCGGGAGCTATGGAAAGGAGATGATTCAGAAGGGCTGACCTCTCGCCCAGCTGAGAAGCAAAGCTGCGACCTTCAATTGCAGACAGCTGAGCTTCTACCAAGAGGCTTCCTCCCAGGCCCTCATCAGAGCAAAGCCTGGAACTCTGCTTAATTAGCCATTGATTGTACTCTTTTTTTTTTTTTTCTAACCTACACCTGCAGTTATCCTTCTCTTTAAAACACTTCACTGGCTTGTTGGGAAGGGAAGAGCGCATTTTGGATCCAGCGAGCACTTCTTCGCCAGGATTGCTGGTTTGTGGAAACAACCCCCTTTCTCCTGTGACTGGCTATCTAGAGGTAAGCACAAATGGCTTGATTATTTTGCTCTGTAACGTTGTTTCTAATGTTTATGTGACTTAACACAGTGGGGTGAACATGTGACAGAATTTGCTTTGTAGCAATGCTGAACGGATATGTTGTTACTTAACAAGCGTTTAGATAAATTATTTTCAGATTCTTACACATAATCTTATAAGGCATATTTATAGAAAAATTTTTGACTTCATATTAGGTGTATTATTTTATGGAAAATTTTGTAAAATAGCATGGTTAGATATTCTTCTCGTTGTGGTTTTTGGTTTTCTTTGAATTTTGGTTTCCACTTTTTGATTGTAGTAGGAAATTATAAACAGTGGATTTTTTCTAAGTGCTCCTAAACACTCAAAAACAGAAAGACGAAAACAAACAGCCCTTACATACCAGACACAGGTGGCAAAAAGTCTCTTTCTAATTTGAATGTTGTTGGTTTCCAGTGAAGTTTTGAGTTTTCACATATTTACAGATTTTTAAAAAGAGATTATTTTACTTCTATTTGAAAGGCAGAGAGTGAAAGTGAGCAAGACAAAGAGAGAGACAGAGAGAGAGAGGAAAAAAGGAAGGGAAAGAAAGAAAGAAAGAAGAGAACAGATCTTCTATCTGATGGTTTGCTCTCCCAAATGGCTACAACGGATGGAGCTGGGGTGATCTGAAGCCAGGAGCTCAGAGCTTCTTCTGGGTCTCCCACAGGCACATAGGGGCCCAAGCACTTGGACTATCCTCTGCTGTGTTTCCGGGCCACCAGTAGTGAGCTTGATGGAAGTGGAATAACAAGGACACTAACTAGCATCTGGCATCTATATGGGATGCTGGCTTAGCTTATTATGCCACCATGTTGGCTTAAAAAATTTTTTTTTAAGGAATTTATTCGAAATGTCAGAGAGAGGAAGAGTGAACTTTCATCCTGGCAAAGTTAGGAGCATCACCCTGACCTTCCACATGGGTGGCAGCAGTTCAAGTACTTGGGCTGTCATTTGCCACATTTTCAAGAGCATTGGCAGGAAGCTGGATCAGAAGTGCAGGAGCCAAGACATAAACGATACACTGATATGAGATGTGGGTGTCACAGGTTCAGGCTTAATTCCTGCATCACAACTCTAGCTCTGGCATGTTTATTGATTGTTGCTATTTTTGCTATAATTAACTAGAACTTAATGTGCTTGGCATATTTTTTTTATTGGAGTGTTTTTTCTTTCATGATCTCTCATCAGATTCTTACATAGATAGAGGCAATAACTTGTGTATAAATATTTTTCCCTGGTGATATTTATTTTAATTTTAGTCCTGGTGATTTTTTTTTTAATATTCAGAAAATGTCAATTTTTTTTTAAAGGTTGACTTTATTTTTTCCTTGGAAAGTTAGATATACAGAGAGGAAGATCTTCCGTCCAATGATTCACTCCCCAAGTGGCTGCAATGGCCAGAGTTGCAGCAAATCTGAAGCCAGGAGCCCAGAGCCTCTTCTGGGTCTCCCCTGTGGATCCCAAGGTCTTGGACTGTCCTTTATTGCTTTCCCAGGCTACAAGCAGGGAGCTGGATGGGAAACGGGGCCACTGGGACTAGAACCAGAATCCATATGAGATCCCTGTATGTGCAAGGCAAGGACTTTAGTTAGGCTACTATGCTGGGCCCAGAAAATGTAAATTTTTATATAGCAAAGATTCCATTTTTTTCCTTCCAAACTAACATTTTATAAATGTCCTTTAAATTTTTCACAAGAAGTGAAATTAAAAGATGTTTATTTTTTGCAAAATATCCATGCAGGTTTTTCATAAAAAATATTTCTGTGAAAACTTTGAAGACCTCTTGAATATTTAGACTTTGAAACTATTTCCAATTATACATTTTAAAATTCAATAATTTAACATTTGTAAACATTTTTCCAGTCATTTCATATTTACACATTATATAAATACATATCTTTCTTAACAGGAATGTTAATATCACAAAATGAGGGCTACATGACAATGATCATGTAGTGGGGAACATAGGATAAATTGTCATTATGTGGTATAATTCAGTCAAGCAATATATAATTATATACAAAGTCTTATAAAAATCCACATAATTTTTATACTCTGTACCTATTAGCTCAAACATAGATATCATTTTTTTCCTGATTTTTCTCACTACTTTTTTTCCCTCAAAGACTTATTTATTTGAAAGGCAGAGTTACAGAGATCTTCTATCTGTTGATTCTTTTCACAAATGGCTGCAACAACCAGGCCTGGAGCATGTCTCAGGAGCCTGAAACTCCATCTGGGTCTTCCAGGTGCATTAGCAGGGAGTTGGCTCTGAAGTAGAGCAATCAGGACTTAAACCAGTGCGAAAATGTCATGAAGGGGAAAGCTTAATGAGCTGTGCTAGAACTGACACCCTCAAGTCTTTTTTATAAGTGTATTTATCATCGTCTATTTGAAAGATAGAATGAGAGAGAAGTAGAAAGAGCCTTTCCATCTGCTGGTTCACACACCAGAGGCCTAGGAAAACCAGCAGGGGTCTGCCTTCAAGCCCGGAGCCAGGAATTTCATCTGGGTGTCTTTTTTTGGGTGTGTACTATCTGGTGCCCCTCATGATGCATTAACAGGAAGCTGGCTGGGGAGCAGAGCACCCGAGACTCAAAGTTGCACTCTCAAATGGAATATGGGCATTCCAAGTGAGAACTTATTGTGATGCACCAGAATGCCTGCCTTGAATAAATATTTTGGGGGATAAGCTTATCTTTTAATTCCATTTCACCTTGAACCATATTAAATACCCTTGAATGTTTTAAAAGATTTCAAAATATTCTATAATTACTTACTTTGTAATGTAGTGATCTGTCATTGATCTGGTATTTATTTTGGTATATAAGATGAGGACTCTTATTATTTCACCATATATTAAATAATTTTTCTTCCTTCACTTATTTCAAATGCTACTTTTAGGTGATTCTATTTTTAAAATTTTATTTAAAGTTATGTAAATTTATTCTATTTAACTCTTATGAAAAATGTATTTCTAGTTGTCAAATTGTGGGAATAGTGAGAAGTTTCAGGAAAGAAGCAGAATGATGGGGACAGTGATGACATTGCAGAACCAGGAAGACTAGCAGCAAGGACACAGCCTTAGATCTTTACTTTTCGATTAGAAAAATCCGTCACAATAGGATGAGAAACATATTCCTATTCTTTTACTGCTAGAAAATGTTTGTTGATTTATCACTTCTGGATCTGATTGCACTGTGGGTTCACATGTCAGTCAAAGATCGTCTCTGTCATAGATGCCCTTATCCCTCCTTGGTGGGGGATCATGTTGGCTAAGAATATTGTAAAAATGTCTAATTTATATGTATTTTTATTCTTACTAATTTCAATATTTATAGAATATATATTATGAAGTTGCAATTAACTCATGATCAGGAGGTACAGCATATAGATTGATCTAACATCATGAGACATTTCATTTCCATTGAAGTTCAAGTCTCCTAAGAACTTAGTATAGTATCCAACTTATATATTTGTGTTTGAAGTTTACAGAAAATTGGTACATAGTCGATTCTATTATGTGGGTCACTTAACTTAGGAAGAGACTCTATCCTAAAGTACCATCATTATAAAGGGGACATATTACATTTACATTTTACCTTTGTCACATGAATATTGTTTATCACTCTTTGCGAGTTTTAGCATGTATAGATGTTCTTGCTGCTTCTTTTCCTTCCCTTCTTTTTTTGATTCTTTACTTTTTATTTTTTCTTAAAGATCAGTTGATTTGAGAGAGAAACCTTCCATCTTCTGGTTCACTCCTCAAGTAGCCACGATGGCTGAGGGTGGGCCAGGCCAAAGCCAGGAAACAAACTCCATGTGGGCCTTCCATAACAGTGGTAGGATGCTTGGGTCATCATCCACTCTTTCAGGTGTATTAGTTGGGAACTAGATTGGAAGTGGAGCAGTTGCAACTTGAACAGACACTCTGATGTGGGATGCTAGTGATGCAGGTGGCTGCTTAAACTTCAGCGTCCCTGTGAACAAAATGCGTAACTAAACATGATTCATCTGGAACCATGGTGGTATGCAAATACTGATCTTAGTTTATCAGCTGAAAGATCAAAAGACTTTGGGTTGTCCTCTCTGATATTATAGGTCTTTCCCTTCATTGTTGCAAGAGAGCTGCAGCTTCTCCAATCATTCCATCCTCATCCAACCATGGTCAAAAGAAAGGGACAATGACAATGCCGAGTTAAGAGTTTTCTTTCATTGTGCCACCCTTTTACCATGGAAGAAAAATATTCCAGACGTTATCAAAGTGACTTTCTTTTTTCATCTTGTAGGTCAAAAATGAGTCACATTCTCAGGCATAGATCGGAGGGTGGGTCCACTTCTGGAGGCTAATGCGTATCTTACCAGTTATGAGGAAGATTCTGCTTCTGTGAAGAAGGTGAAAGGGGAAATAACTCTTGAGGCAAAGAATGGTGTTTGCCACACAGAGATATATCTTTATACAAACATGTCTAGTAAAATAAGTCCTTACAGAGAGATTCCAATATGTTCTGCTCCTTATTACCTTGGTAAATGTAGACCATAAGACAGTGAACACTTAACACCTATCAGCTACTTAATGCAAATGGTGTCATTTTTGATACAACTTGTGTAGTTCCAACTTTGTGTTCAGTTTTGACATGTGGCAAAGGACAGGCCAGAGACAGGGTGGGGATGAGGATTAGGTCAGGCACAAAATGAGTTTTGAAAAGATCCTGGGAAGTCCTCTTAGGTGTCTGCACATATCCCAACCTAGACCAACAGTATGGAAAAAGAAGGCTTCTTCTCTTACTAGTGTGTTGGAGGACACTGTTTTCAGTGTGGGGTTTCTTAGATTTTCATGCAGGAAGGTGGATGTCTAGGAAATCTACAATTTGAAATCTATGTGGAGAGAATCTGTGGTGAATGTTGATAAGAAGGAGTGGTGAACTTGCTCCCTCTTGCTTGATGTTTACTCGTCCTCTGGGGTGTGGTTCATGAATTCCCACAACCTGCTAATGGATGATGTTAGACTCGGTTCCCATCAGGCAAAGCGCTCTCTCTCTCTCAGCTTTTAAAATCAACCAGAAATTGAAAGAGTGGCAATGGGGGTGACTCTATAGGGGACGTTGGTGTTGAAGTTCAACCGTTTCCTTTTTGTGGGTGTGGGAGAGAAAGATTTCTGAATGTGCCCTGACCTTTTAAACTTTAGCCTGCTTGCTAAACTGGTTAAAGCCCAAGTTCCTCTTCTAACCACAAAAGTCCTGTGCTTTCTCCCTGGAAATATGGAGCCTTGCCATTACCCACATCTGCCAGAGAGTCTTTTAAACCTTGTTTGAACCTTGGTCCACATTTAACCAACCCATCTACTAAGGCAGCTTGCTAAACAGATGGCTTTGGATGTAGTTAATAATCTTGTCATTTCTACCTTGTGGTCTTTCATATCTTTCCTCATCCAGTTAAATTAAATTGCCATCAGTCTCTTTCCCATCAGGGTGAAGATTAATGGGTCTTCAACTGTCTTCTTAGAACACATGTAATTGACATGTTCTGAAGAGAGAGGTTAGGGCTAATAAATTATGGGCTGTCATCACAGAGGATGGTTGGTAGCTCTGGAGTCCTTGGTTTACAAGGGTTTAAGTTGGGCATGTGCGTGGTGGGCACCTTATTGCAGCACCCATAACTGCTAATGCTTTTGAGAGGTGCAGGGAACCTGGGATTTTGTGAACCCAGGAAGTGCATGGCCAGTAAGCTGTTTCTTCTTGTGAGGCTTTAGGAGTATTGGAAGCAGGCAGGCCTATTCCCACAAGGGATGCCCTCTAACTGGTTAGCTACTCTTGCTACTGCCACTCTGTTGTCTGGAAAAATATTTCTGTCCGGCCCAAGGATTTGTCTCCTGAATCTCTGAAAGGCTTGTCCTCTCTGGACATGAATAATGGCTTTCTAGATCATATTGAATCATGCAGCTCCCAGGAATGTCCCAAAATATCACTGCCAATAAGCAACTCCTGGGCTTATAAAACCTACGGTGATCACAATGACATTGTCCTCTAGTGCTTGCATGCCCCTGCACTTTCTCATTGACCAGTTGTGAGGAAAGCTTGAAAAGTCAACAGTGGGAAGAAATCCAATTCTCTTTTAATAGAATAGACTTGCTTTGTAGTTGTTCGTTGTTTTATTGATGGATTAAGTTCTAAAAAGAAGTAAAACATTTACAGATGGATGTCTTATTGGTACCAAGTACTTCCTGATGTCTTTAAGAAGCAAAAGCAACAGTGCAGTTGATAAAGCAACCCTCTTAACCCTGTGAGTAGAGTTGAAGATTTTTGTCTCATTTCCTCCCTGACTGTTAAATCCAAGGTATTGGCCATAGCTAATGATCTAACTTTATTCTGGGAATCATTTTTTTTTTTTCTGTTGGTTGGGAAAACTGGCTCCGGTGGAAAATTAGGTGTCACAAACCTGAACAACTGTAAGTAATTTTGCTTTTTACATATCAGCAAATATAGAATTTATTACTAGACTTAATTAGAACATAAATGATCCTATATTCTAAGGAATTTTGAGACTCTGAGTAAGTCCTTTTATTCCTTCAATCTTTGCTGATGTTTGGTTTCTTCACATGTAAAAATGGAGATACTAATATGACACCCACTTCATTATAGCATGTAGGACTACTGATATAAATAGATCATAAAGAGCAGTCTTCAGTTCAGTAGATGAATAGCATTTAGTTTAACAGGTTGCATTGATAAGGTGTTTCAAACAAGTTTCTAACACATGTCTGATCTTAATTGCTGCAATTAAAAAAAAAGGATTTATTTTTATTGGAAAGGAGGAACAGAGATAAAGATCTCCTGTCCACTGTTTCACTCCCCAAATGGTTGCAATGGCCATAGTTGAGCCAATCCAAAGCAAGGATCCAGGAGCTTCTCTGGGTCTTCCACATGGGTTCAGAGTCCCAAGGCTTTGGGCTGTCCTCTGCTGCTTTCCCAGGCCCTAAACTGAGAGCTATATTGGAAGTGGAGCAGGTGGGACATGAACTGATATCCAGCTGGGGTGCTGGTGCTGCAAGACAGACAATTACCCAGTTAAGCCATTGCACCAGTTTCATTTGCTGTATTTCAATAGGTATACTTATTTTGCTACTTCTATAGAAGAAAACAACTGACATTATTTTCATTTTCCCAAGCATTAGTTTTTACTCTTAATCTTCTTATGAACATTATGAGGACTAGATATTCTTATTGTTATTACAGATAAGGATATGAGGGCATGGAGAGATTCAGAATCTTGTCCAAGATTACATAGTAAGATGAAGAGCTGGGAATCCTGGGCAGGTGGTTTGGTTCTAGAGTTCTCAGTTGTAATATATTCAGTTATATAACTAGGGTAAAGCAGTTAATGAGAGACTCTTATCCTATATCAATTCTCAGTTTTTTTCTCTTTCCATACCACTTCTTGTTTACTTAATATCCAGGGTGTTTATCATTTCAAAAATCGTTATAGAAACTGTATGTACATGTGCTACATAAACACACACTTATCTCTGTATATTTAGACAGTGTCCCTCAAATATGTTTGCACTAAGAATGCAGCAGACACTCCCCATTCTGATTAGAATAGGGAAAAAGTGATAAAGGACCTCCAACTGGAGACTCACCATCTTGACAGTCACCGTTTATGCTGAAATGTGCACTGTTTTCAGCAAGAAGTATGATCCTGGTTTCCAAAGGTCAAATAAATCACCTTTAAAGTCGTGAAAAGGTAAACAGACTGATGCCTGGGCAGCTTTCCTGAGTTTATGAGGTCTTCTGGCAACAGGGATATACAAAAGCCCCATCCATCAACCCCCACCCCCACACAGGCCCCCAAAGCATTTATTCCTAGGGGAGGAATCGCTCTGCCATTCAGGGTAATTTCCCCTCAAACCATTATTAGGAAATATGAAGTCAAAAGAAAATGTAAACCTTGGAGTAAATGTACTTCTACAGAAAGGCAATTTCTCTCTAATCGAACTTTATAAAAATATAGCTGTGATTCAAAAATGCTGAGCAAGAAGAGATTGAATGTTGGGATGGAGGAGCAGGAATTTAATGGAAGAGTGACAGAGCAGAAGAGTGGGGAGAAAATAGGGCAGGCTAGTGTGATACAACATAAATAAAGTAGTTGTCACTGATGAGAAGTAATTCCACGCGGCACTGCAGTGAATGCTTGACTGCCAATCATGGTCCACTTTGTTGGTATCATCTTTTAAAGTCTCTAGAAGGGCTCTACAAATTGTCTTTCAGCACATTCTTAAGTTCTACATATAAATAATAATAAAAAAAACCCCTCCCTGTAAATCTATAAGTCATGCTGGAAATGACTATTCTGTACAAGAAAATAAATGTCTTTTAAAGACCTTTTCATCAGAGTACTTAAATTCTGTGCTATGATTTCTCTGCCATGTAATGAGAGCTGGCCTGGTGTAAACAAAAACCCTTTAAAGAAGCGATTACCGCCGTGCCTAGTGAGCTGCTGAATGGATCCTTGGCCATTCAGCCATGTTGAAATCCATACCAGTCTCCTGGGAGTGATCTCATCTTGTCCCAAGTTTTTCTTCTGGTTACAGCAACTACCCAAGCCAGGCCTTTCCTTTTGGAGAAGCTTCTTTCTGTTTACATGCGAGCTGGTGTTTTCTACCTGTCCAGATTTCATCGAGGACATGTGGGAAGAAGGCTAACTAAACACCTTTGAATCTTGTAAGATTCTCCTTCGGAGTTTTTCTTTTTTTTGAAATGGGAAGGCCAAGGGAGATTAAAACTCATTTTTCTTCTGTATTTTGCTCCTTTTAAGATTTAAATACATTTTAGAATTTGGATGAAATTTGATTTTTTCTTGATCCCTTTTCTTTTTCAAGTGAACTTAGCCTGGGATTTGTCCAAGTCAGACTGCAGAGACCACCAAGTGTTCTCATCAACCAGAGACCTAATTGTGGTCATTTATTATAGTCACTTATCTGATAGTAGCTTCACTATCTGTGATAGTTTTACAGGGACAAAATCCACCAGGCATCCAATGGAGTATATAAACATGTTACCTTGTGACAGGGTGTCTGTTACTTACTGTCAACACTAACTGGCCCTCGCCACATATCTGCAGCTTATATGAAGTAACGATGAGTTTAATAAGCTCCAGTGAAAGCTGCAATGTAAACATCACATCAGGAGTGTTTGCCTTGTAAGGCCTCTTAAACAAATAAAGGTGATGGAGAAGTACAAACATGATGGGACTGGAGGCTAATGAGATGACCAGCGGGCAGCCCGGGGAAATTCCACTGATGCTTCTCTGCAGACAGGATTGTCACAACAAACAATGCATTTGTATCTACCATACTTAGAAGGAGGCTGCTCAGAAATTCACAGCTGAAGCTCACTTCAAGCTCTTAATTTGGAAACTTGGGTGAATTTGTTGTCCGTTTGGGGGCAAATATATACTGACAATAGCTAGTTGTTTCTCAAGATGAGTTTGAAAGATACCATGTTTGGCATTATGCAGCTAGCACAAATGGACATATTCCTTTTGTTAGCAACTTTCCATACACAATGGGAGCAGGTTTCTGTTCAGCCTAAATTATTAATGGATAGCAATGCATATGAGTTGCACAAATCAAAGCATCCAGAGATGTGAAGCTATTTTTATAAAGCTCCATTCCACACATGTACCTTCATAAAAGTGTGAGGCTGTTTACAGATCTTTGCAACCTTAGCTTGGAAAAAGGTGGAAAGTTTCCTTGTTCAGCCAAATAGAGCTTTCCCTGTAACCCCTGTGTACTACAAAACATAAAGGAGGGGCTTGAGAGAGTTCCTTATTTAAGTCTTAAATTTGTTGCCTCTTTTTGTCTTTACAGTATTTTAGAAAGTACGGGCTAGAATCAAAGAGGCAGTTGATGAAACAATGCTGTTATGATTAACTCGACATGTTAAGGTTAGTTCGATTATCTAACTTTATTGAGACGTGGTATAGGAGACATGTGAGGGGAGAGGAGTTCAAAGGGAGACCAGTGCTATAGTGGTTATCCTCAAAATATATTTTGCAGAACAGTAGTTCTTTGTACCTTTGATAGATATTATTAAAAAACAGGGGGCTATGATCAAAAGCATTTGGAAAAGTAAGGTTAAAGAGGTTTTCTAATACAGGACT